TCCAGAATATGTCACACATTCGCGTGGTCCGCCCAGCGGACCTCAATTAATGTCACCGGTTCCAGCATGTAGTTTTGTAGAAGTTAGCGGAAGAACGTGCCAAGCAACGTGGGCCCGGTAGTCTGTGTGGGTGAGTTCACTCAACGCCGCGGTCACGCTCGGCCAGTTTACTTTCCAGCTCTGTCGCCTTAGGGCCTCTGCACGAGCTGTGCTAGTAGGCTGTACATGTCACGGTGCCGCCAGTGGCAAGCGTTCCAATTAAACGCGCGTGGCTGTGGGGACGTACACCGACAATGTCGTATTCTGAGCGATCTTTCTCCGCAAGCATCTCAAGCATCTTATGAGAGAACTGCCCGTGTACTCTTAAGCTTATGTACATCCGACATTGTCTGCAGGAAATTCGCACAGTCCTCTTCGCCGTCGGGGACAGGTGTACAGACCATGACCCGATCCAGACTGCGAATGAATCTCGAGACCATTTTGGCACGAGCATCGGGGCTTTGCCTCGCAGAACAAGAACATACCAGTCTCATGGGCTCAGAGCGAAATTGAGTGTGCTAGAATTTCTCGACTGTTTTCGCATAAAAAGCGTGTGATTTTTCTGCAACTTAGCGCACTAGCCTAACCCAGATTCCACCCGAGCCCCTCCATCACGTCTTCTGCACTGCACTCCCTCTTTGAACTTATTCCATAAATATCTCGCTTGACACCGAACGTCTTTGTTAACGTGGCGTACCGCTCGTCATAAAAGCAGGGCCGCGTTCAGCAATTGAAAGCAAAAGCGACGGCGACTTCGGTTGGGAAAAGTCGAGATATTACCATCTGGACGAAACCCAAGCGGGATGACGTCGCAAAGTACGTTCCGCTACTAAAGCTGAAGTGTTTGCCAGTCACGCCTCTCTTAGTAAGAAGGTAGCAGAGCTGTATACTGCGCATCTAGCTTGCCGACACATGAGCCAGGAACAAGTGGATCGACTTCTACGTATGATATTGCACATGGAAAACTATCTCCAGTGGCCCATGGGATTTCCTAGGCCCTGCTAACGCCCTCGACGCCATGTCATCTCCAGAGTGGCCTCGTCATGATTCACAAATCGTTGACTGGAAGGGCTTGATGAAGCATGCACCATGCGCAAGAGCTCGCGTGACATGAGTGCTCAGCGCTCAGCCGTTCATCGCGCCATGCCGAGCTCTCTACGTCCCTGCGCAGTGCGAAGATTGGCCGGCGGAGGTCGTCGCCGAGACAGAAGTAAGATCTCAAAGGGAAGCAGAAGACGATCGAGGGACGAGATGGAACAAGGGGACATCTCCAGTGCGAGCAAGACGTATCCGGGGAATGGCCTGCGTCCCAACGAAAACATGCAGCACCCTTGCCAGCTCAGACGCAGGAAGACAGAAGGCCGCGCGCTGGCCAAGTCACTGAAGAAGCGTATGTTGTAAATCCCATCCTATTTACTTGGCTCCTACTGTCGGCGATCGCACGCCCGGCCCAACGGGATCTACACCTGTCTTTTGGGACCAAAGTCTTCTCACGTATCGGCGCAAAGTGGCTGCCTGTGACCCCAGTGCGGAAATATGTCAGCCAGCGCACTGTAGTCGGCCCTTTTACTAACCTTAATTATTCACAAGGCACAAGAGTGAAGAACCTTATGGTGTATGTCATCGCATTGAGGAAGGATGGCTACGTAACCCCCGCTATGCCTGGGAATACGGCACCAAGGTTACGAAGAAGCGGCAGGGCGGCAAGGGCGAGGAGTGGCGGGAGAGTATCATACCGCGGACATTCACGTCAGTCAATGTCTTCGTCTCCCTTTGCCACCGAGTAGCGCTGACACGGGGCGCAAAGACGGCCTGAAAGACGACGAACTGCAAATCAATCAGCTAACGGAGAACTTGAAGATGCCAGAGACACCAGCAGATTCAAGAACTATCTAATGTATGTCCTTGAAACACGCCTCAAGCGTGAGTAGGCTATTCATCCACCCGTCCAGCTCGGTAAATTTCACGACGAGCCTGCGTCACAATCTGCGTACGAACAGCGCTCAAGGCGACCGAGAGCTGGATGAAATAAGACGCAAAACCCACGAGAGGTATCGATGCTAGCCAATGATATGGATGAAGCAGAACGCTGTCACTGTGAACAAACGCCTGCTTGTTGCGGGCGAGGGGAAGCGTGTCATGCAAAACTTGTACACGCTAAGTCAGACCGAGTCGTGTGCTGGATCTCGCCGTTGACGTGCGTACTCTCCCCTGTTGTTGGCAAGACTAATTGCTGACGTAAGCTGCTCAGGGAAAAGTACCTCATCCGCTTGTATGCATTACCTCCATGCGCACAGACAGAGTTTGAGTTCAAGAAACGTTGCTTAGTCACTATTCCTAGTCATCACTAGCACCGTCGTTACCGCTGAGAGCGAGTAGGCCATCCTTGGAGTATATTCGCCCTCATATGGCCAATTTTGCGCATATCGATAGCATTTCTATCTACCATAGGTGTACCAGGAAGCCGAGCAAGAGGCAGAGGAGCGACGCACGAAGGAACGGGAGCACGAAACGGTGGCAGCGCCTCATCCAAGGTTTGCATGCGCGTCGGCGGGTGCAGGAGCCGTACGCTAGTCCCGGTGAGCCGCAACATGCGGCTGACGGGCGGGAGCCAGAAGAACATGTTAATGATATCATGGCGCACCTAGCATGCAGTATTAATCCATGTCCAGGGACAACAAGAGGCAAGTGGGTTCTTGATCGCAGTGAATGATGTGGTTAAGCCGTACACGTTGCCACATGATTTTCATGAAGCACTTCCACTTCCTAGGCATGTCATCGTATCCAATAGACCCGGGGGCAAACCGTGGAACGCGCGCAATGACGCCGGCATAATAGCACCTCCGCCCTCGTCGCAGCTTATAATGGAAATATTTGACATCGAAGAGGGTGCCGGGCCACTCGAGGAAGTACAGATATCCGGGGTGCACGCGCCCCTAGAAGGCGCAGCCAAGAACATGGTCGAGCATGCGGCGGCGCACGCTCAAGTGCAAAAGGACATCACAGACGCATCGGTAGTGAAGACACTGCCAGAGCCTGTGGGTCAGGTGGCCACCCCGGAGTTAGCACTAAGCCGAGCCGCGGTGGGACAAGCATCCCTGTGAAGACGAAGGGCGATGTGAGCAGGAAAGACTACCGATGGGAAACAAGCTGCCGGCGTGGGCGCAAGCATGCGCGGGACGACGACAGCGGATCTGCCGAGTCTGAGGCAGATGAGCCGGTGCTAGCTTCGTCAGTCAAGCGGATGCGCATGACTGCTGCACCCTGGTAAAGTTAGACCGTATGCTACGTTCACGCAAAATGGGGACTGAATCTCAAGTGCGGGCGGAGCGCGAGGAAGAGAAAGCGTCCCGGAGGGCCGTCGCGGAGTGACATGGTGGCTAGAGCTGAGTCATGCCTATCTTGTCATAGACCCATTATACGTTTAGGCTTTTTGCAGACCCATTTGGTCGGCTCTGGTTGTCTCCTGGCGCATCGCACTGCGCATTTCTGCAATATCGACTTCGGTGAGCTCACGTCAATTGGCTGGACTGGCAGTATGGTAGAGTTTGGCGAGGATGCGTATGCTCAGTCTAGGGCTACCGTACACGTATGTCGGCCCCGTTAAGCCAGGACGTCCCACGGACGTGAGAGGCGGACGACATATAAGGGTCTGTGCCGTGTGAGGCCTCAATAGACCCTTTCTCGCTGTTCGCATCACGCAGTTTGCCTTGTCCGTCTCTCCGGGACCTATGTTATTCGTTTTGTTTCTTCTGAAGGAGCGCCACAAGTTTTCTCCCAGATTCAGATTTACATCTGTAGATGCAACCTCGGTAAATTGCTGGCAGGATCCATGCATCGGTGCCTTTCGTCTCCTCAATGCAGAGTTCATATATTTGGTTTGGTTTTGGCAATCCCGCTCATTCACGCTCAGGGCCTACCATGCCATAGCTGTCTTAGGTTTGATATCTTAGTACAAGCTTCCATTCCCCTGGCCAAAATTGGAAAGCCCCGTTTGGTCTTTCTTCCTCGCATTGGCTTCGGTAATCTCAGGGGGATCCTCATATCGTCAGGAAAGCCGTCTAACCCTGCTTGCCTCCGCTACCCATCTTCTGTAGCCCTGGTCGAGCCTTCCAACGTGAGCCGTCTAGCTAACACCGTGCAATTTACCTGCCATTGCTAATCTCATTCTAGGTCACTATGGCCCAAGCACCTCGGAACTCTTCTCAGTATTCTGGGGATCGTCAGCAAGCCTCGCAGAGGCCGCGGTTACCACCTCAATTCACTCCCCTGGGACGGGATAATATGGCACCAGACTCATCCGCAAAGTATTCTCCAGAAGCAATCGCAATGCAGAGATCAATAGACTCGGGTTATGGAAGCGAATTTTCCAAGTCTCCCATATCCAGCTCCCCAGATGATCCTTTCTCTGGTAGCGGACATGACTTGAAGGCGAGCACAACAGACCCGCACAAGCGAGTGCCTTCAGATGGTAACACCTCAACACACCATCACCGAGCCTCTCGGGAGCCCTCTCCAGCTCTCATTGACTTAGACAGTCCCACGCACGACGGAGGGGGAAGGTCGTATGACGCCGCAGCCCCTGCTGTTCCTCCCCTCGCTCTCTCATCCAAACCCCCACCCGGGGAAGAGGATCGTATTCCCAGGCCCGATCCCCAATCTCTAAAGCACAAAACTTCTTACAACAGCCGTCCTGTGCCCACAGCTTCCATCTCGGTCTCGCAACGGTCGCCGCCGCCGCCATATTCGCCCCCGCTGTCCTCGCCGTCGGCGCCATCTGTGGGGTCTTACCAGACTAAACCTCTCGAACGCCCTTCCGACGGTATTCACAGCTTCCCTACCCCACCCCCAGAACCGCTTATTACGAGCACAAGGAGAGTCCCCAATAAAAAACCTACCAACTTGCAGAATAGAGCGAGTCCGGGTAACGGGGTCTCGCCTACGACGTCCCACAGTGATGCTGGCCGATCTCCTTCTTGCCCTGCCGAGCCAGCGTCCACGCGGCCCAATGAGCGCGGCCCAACCTCAACTCCGCCGCAGGTGCGGCCAGCGACATGCCCTGGCAGCTCTCCTTTCCCCACTCCACCGACTTCCCCGTACTCTCCGGATGAAGATGAAAAGCCCAGACCGGCTATAGAATCCTATACAACGGATCGAACACCCAACGCCGGGGCAACGCCTCGCGTAGCTACACCCCCACAGAGTACGCGCGCGGGGGCCCCCGCGGATCGCCAGCCCTCCACCCCTGGCCATCGTATGGTTGCTGTCATGAATCTGTCGCCTCCTCCCCCGCAATCTTCTGCATCTTCTTCCCCGCAATCTTCTGCGCCTCCTTCCCCGCAATCTTCTGCATCTCCTTCCCTGCACTCTTCAGCAGCGTCTCCCGGTGAAAATGCAGGCTACACCGAGCTCCTGGGCCCTCAACCTCTCCATTCGTTCACGTCTCTCGGTCTGTGGAGTTATCTCCAGAAACCCGCCAGGGACCTCGGTCCTCAAGGCGTCTCGCAGCTTGCGGCGTCTCGAAAAATTCCTCTCGATTTACGTGTCATTTTTGGGCTTCACTGCAAATTCCATGCTATGCCAGGTCCCGGAGAGCAGCAGAGCAGAGACGATCAGCCTTGTTATGGCGCCGGATCCCTGGAGGGCGTCTGGAAGCTAGCGGATATGATGAAATACTCGACCCCGTCGGCCCCTCTCTCTGCTTTCAGGCAATTCCCGAAAGGAAAACTCTACTCCGTCACACCCATGAATTGCGATACACAGTGCCCCCTTCAGAAACGTTTCGACGGCACAGGCGCGATACAGAATGAGCTAGCGGATACACCGTGCTCGTCTCTCGGCGTCTCTGGTCTTCTGCAGAAGCTCAACGAGGTCTTCGGTACAACGTATCAGCTCAACAACCACTTGTCCTCTTTGCTCGGCGGCTACGTGAACAAGGCCGACTGCGACTTCGGAAGGGTCTATGGCGAAGTTCGGCGCGGGTGGTTCTGTGACGTGGACCGTCTGCAAGGTCGTTTGGAGAGAGGCGCACGGCAAGACTACGGGATGCGCAAGAGGGCTATCGACTCTAACCGAGGCCTCATCGTCCAGCCCCGCACCCCACCACGTCGTGTATGGGACCTGTACAGCAACCGCGTCCTTCCCTTCTGGGTGCTCCTCTCCAAGGACATACCGAGAAACCTTTGGGCGGTTTCACATAGCTGGGTGAATGATAGACAGCGCAAGTTCATCAGAACGCGCGTGAACGGTTATGAGTGGGCACTGCCTATTCCCCGCGACGTCGAACTCGACCACGTGCGCATCGAGCTGCTGAACCTGGGCGCCGAGTACGTCTGGTTGGACGTGCTTTGTCTGAGACAGCAGGTGGATGAAGAAAGACGTACCTGGCTCAGCTGGGACTCGGACAGATGGCAGAACGTGGAGACGTTGCGGCAGAAGGAGTGGAGACTCGACGTCCCCACTATCGGACATGTCTTCCGGTGCAAGCCGTCGCAGGTGGTCATCACGTATTTCAGCGGTCTCGGCAGGCCATTCTGCGTAACCGCGGAGATGTTCAACGACGAAAGGAGCTGGCTCAACCGAGTCTGGACGATGCAGGAGACTACCTCCAACTGGCTCCTCGGAGGGCTGGTGCCTGAGGAGTTCATGGTTCGGAAGGAGGACTTGGACTTGCCGACACAGTTCCACGACGGGGTTTGCAGTCTGCTGCAGGTGCTGGCGCGGGACCCACCAGACTTGTTTGCCTTAGCCAAAGTCTTACGAAGCCGGCGCGGTACTCACCATATCGACCAAGTCAGCGCGTTGGGACTCCTCTTGAAGTGTCCCGCTCTACCGATCTACGACACGAAGCAGCGCTGCGAAGACGGTTGGGGCCAGCTCGTGCAGCAGATGTCGCACAAACACCGGACTGACCTCCTTGTCAACTGCCCTGTGGTCGGCAACGCTCCGGGAACTAAATGGTGCCCTTCGTGGTCTCAACTCATGCTGGGGAAGACGATACCCTCGGAGACCACTGTCATCAACTATTCCGAAGGCGAGCTGCTCAACTGTAGCCCGATATCTCACGATCCCTCGGTCAACCTTGGAGTTGTTTACTGGAAC